GACAAATATTTTATCTTGTCTGAGTACTAGACTACTAGGTTTTAAATATATACCAGCAACATTGTGAAACACGGGTATTTAGTGAACCATCCCCTTATTTAGTACATTTAACATTATTTAGTACATTTAACATAACGAAGTTTCTCAAGTTTTGTATTTACGTACCGGAATCAAAATTTGGGGATTCCGTATCGTCCAACATCTCAATAATTTGTTCCATATTTCTCATAAAATGTTGATATGTTTGTGATCGAGTTACTTCATCCTTTAAATCTTTTGAGTTTGAAATGGCTATTATTCGTTCGACGCGACGTACTTTGGGTTTTGAGACTAAAGAAACGTAAGTTTTAGATGATTAGACTATTTTTTAGGTCATAAGAATATTTACATATTTGTTCCGGGGGAATATCACCAATAGAAACAGCCATTTTTCGTTTTGAAGCATACCGTTTCTCATCTGCTTTAATAGTTGAAAACATATCCAAAGCCGTGTTAAATGTTTCCGCAGTAGTCCCCCTGACTTCTAACTCAGGTATAGGCATAATATTCAAACTTGTATTGGGCTGTTGTTCTGATGATTGTTGGAGTAACCCAATACTTCTAGCCAATTCTGGTGACTTTTGTACAAATTTTTTAATACTTTGCTGCATCATGAGAGTATCCTCAACGTTAAGACGATTTATACATACCCGAACCTGGGACTTGCCACTTGATGACGTCGATGTCGAAGTAGCTGTCGAAGCTGAATGATTATTTTGATGGGGTTCTTTTCCAATGGCAGGTCCACTATTATTACTTAGCAGCGATGTTGAAGTTGCAGGTAATAAGTGTACTTCTGGCACGTTGGTACCTAGCGTCGCCAACTGATTTTTTTTGTTTGGCAGTAAAGATTTCTGTTGATCTGTTTGATGTGCAGCAGATTCCGTAATCTGCTGTCGTTGTAAATTTAATACATTTTGGAAGTTGCCTTGGATCATTGAGGTCGATGTTGCGGCAGCTTGGGAATCGGTCATAGCAGCTTGTAAATGATAAATTGGTGATTCCAAAAAGGGGAATTCATCAGCCATCCGATTAAAAGATTGATGATGGTCTACGGGTTTAAGATTATCGCAATTTAATGTATATTCTTGAACTTTAAGGTGACTGAAATACGGTTGCTGCACAGAGTGTAAAGATGAATCCGAGTTCTTTATTTCTGGAGTGTTATGAACGATTTCCATTTCCTCAATTTTTGGAAATTTTTGTGTAACATCTTTCCCTTGGTTTGGCGGTATCTCCATTCGTTTATTGATTTCGTTGATGTTTGTCCTGGAACTAATCATGGAATACTTATCTGGAAGCACGTCAGTAGCAGCCATACTAAAATTGAGGAGTTTGTAAACATATAATAAGTTTATAATATTTAGGATTTCAGTTTAACAGTAAAAGTTAATGATTCCCACCTGAAAGATTTCTCAATATACGTTTGCGATTTTTGCACCTTTTGTGATATATCAGTAGATGACGCCGTCGGCTGCGGTGAGGAATGTAATTGACCCTCAATGTGTTCGCTTGGAGTTAATCCCTTAGGTTTGTTATGATCACTTCGCACTGGATATTACAAATAATAATGTAAGAAAAATCACACACATAAACTACTGTTAAAACTTACTTATCTTTAATGGCGTGTTAAAAACAGTTGGCCGGAAATTGTAAATGCCCTGGAGCAGCTCTGGATAAGTACTAATATTAGTTCCATGTTGTTCAATAGTATACTCTGGTTTTAATTCGCTGGAATATAATCATGATTAATGCTAAATTATTAAACACAAAACTTTACTTACATATTGTCAGAATTTGTTTGTTCAATAGCATTTACTAACTGACGTACGAGAGCGCCATCTCGAACAGAAAGTAAATTATCAGATTCACTTGCAACTAAAGCATGGAACAACAGTGATTTATTCAGTGAGACTGCACTCAGGAGAGAATCGGATACAGGTAACTCGCTGAGCACTTCGTAAAATAAACAATGAATGAAGCTATATTCATTTCTACATTTGAAATATATATGAATTAATACTTACAATCAGAAGTGCTGGTTAGACCCGCTAACGTTGTGACGGGTACGCTCGGGATGTCACGGTCCCCCATTATTTATGACAAGCTTGGATTTTCAGATTGGTGTGCCTTTTTTACAATGGTTTAATATTTTATATGATTCGGTTTGGTTTATCTAAACTGGTAGATCTAAACTTTCAATAAATTGGGAAAATTTGTATTTAATTGACTATTTACCAAGTTTTTTGTATGATACATATAGACACATTTTAAACATTCATACATATGTATGTAGGTATAGACGTGTCGACATATGTATGTACATTTAGGTTAACACCCGTATTCTGGCACTAAATTATGATTTTTATTTATTAAAGCATTGAAATATTTATTTGGAGCAACACATACACATATTTGTACTCAAGTCTACTAGCCAATGGAAATGCATATGTATGCAAGTAGATTTAATTCCTTGGCAATATACATATGTACATACATGTGTTTTTAAAAATTCACGCATGAGATTTCTCTTAGTAACTAGCCGTAAAAATAGTTATTTTCGTACAAAAAACACACGTACAAATACAAACGTCGAAATAATTATTTATATTATATATCCCAATACAATACTTATATGACTACTATACAAGAAACATATCCAGAGAATAGTTGCCTTGAGTTTGGAATGTTTTAAAGATTTTCTTATTTGTGACTGGATCTCCTTTAAATATACTTTTATTCATTTTAAATACAGCACACTTTCAACATAAAAGACTTTAAGCTAATAAATTAACTTCATTTATTTATTTTCAGAAATAAAGATTTAAAGGAACATGGCCGACCAATGTGAACGGATACTGGAGGCTCTGAAATCATCTTGGGTAAACAGATTGTAGGACAGTCAGCTATTGTCTGTTAGATCATATAGCAGGGTTGATAAAGTTACATGGTAATCGGCTTTACACATTTATGGTATTCGTGAAATTGTTTGAACGACAAAGCTTTAGTTGTGATTAGTTGTTAGAATGACATTGTTTACCTTACAGCCTTTTCACGACACATTTATGAAATGATACGATAGCCATTTCACACTGGCGATCATCCACCATCCATTTCTGGTATGGTCCGTAAGGTTTTGCCGTTCCGAAAAATTCCCACATTAATCCACCATTCATCTGGGATGTTCATAATTCGCTAGTATCTATGCGATAATTATTCAACAATTTTCAAATGAAACCATAAATATTTTATATTTACAACGAAAGAGTGCAATTCACGACGAAAATGTAAACAATAATAGGAAAATGGTAAAAAAACAACAATAAAACATCTGATATGTCAGAATTGTCTCAGGCGCAAAATGTGCCTCACATCCTATGGATATTGCACACGCTATTGGCTGACAGCCTTCCGACTATTCTGTACTAAGAAAAAGAGGACAATGCTATGGCTATACAAATATTCCAAACCATTTCTCAAAAAACAGAATATATATTTGCAGGCACATTTTGTCAATGGACTCTGGGAATTCTTTTCTCTGCTCTTTGCTTCTATATAAGAAGCAGTCAAAAATGACCACGCTTCAGTATTTTCAAAACAGATATCCATTCCAATGGTGAGAGATGGAGGCAAAAACTGTGCGCAAAATCAAAAGAAAAGATTCGTCCTTTGTTTTTGCTATAATATATGCCGCCACCAACACAATCACTTCATTGTCAGAGTGCATATATTTCCTCTTTAATTTTTATAGAACTTCACAGTTGGCACTGTTTACCAAACACAGTTGATTCATCAACCCTGTTATAGCTATGTTCCACATCCTCACGGAATAACTAGCAAATTCCTGGCATGAATTTCCGCGATGCTGGAGACAGGCCTTAAATGTCAATTATTCAAGGTTGCATTTGAAAACTATCGGATAATTATCGCATAGAAACGTTCGGATTATGAACATCCAAAATAAATGGTGGAATAACTGGGAATTTTTCGGAACGGCAAAGCCTTACCACTAACCTACGTTGTGTGCCAGTTCATACAACGAAAGGGGCGCAGCTGAGTTGCAGCGTACGTTCCCAGTCTTGGCGGGGGCCGCTCTTTCTTGGTGTATGTCGCTCTGTTGACGAAGCCGAAGCAGAGGCAAAGGCTAGCCTAAAAGAGAACCGCGCGCCCGTCGCAACTCAGCTTTTAAAAACAAAACAAAAATATTTTATGAACCGCTTCGTCAATGCCTCAACCCGCGTCGAGTCGAGCTACAACCCCAGAAATATGAAGTTTACGCTGGATGGTCCAGCCGGTTAGCAGGCCTAGGGCCCCCTAGGGATAACAGAAAAATTTTGTTAAAAAACAGAACTCCAAATAATGAATAAAAAATATAATAGCCACTGAGAAAAATCAAATAAAGGAGGGCCCCAGTTGTGGCCCCCCGGTTGGGGTTGATCGGCCCGAATAGGTCGCTACATCACATCAGCCCTCAAAACAAAATGAAAAACCAATCAAGCGGCCAAAATGAGGCCCACACCAGCCAGTAAGTGTGATCTGGCCACACACGTTTCGAACTGAAATAACAAAGTCGGTTGGCAGCTAAAAATTATTCTATGCATACAATCTATATTTTGGAGTGTACACGTACACAACCTGCATGCGTCCAGTCGGCTCGTGTGCGCATGAGCCCAACGCGGCCATTCCCAAAGCCAAAGTCTGGGAACGTACGCTGCAAACTCAGCTGCGCCCCTTCGTTGTATGGGCACACATACGATGGAGTGGCCTTACGGACCAACACAGATGGTCGATGGTCGCCAGTGTGAAAAGGCAGAACATCCTCGAAATATATTCTGGATGATTCCCCTTGTGTATGGGGAATTAGTAGTTACTGGGCCTTAATTGGAATATTTATAGTATATTTTTGAAAAATGAAAGGTTCATTTTGGTATTTTTCTACGGGAAATTTATCGATAAATCCAATGTTCATCAAGAAGCATGGCATGCTTAACTCCGTACTTAAATAATTGTGTCCAAGTTACACATAAGTTTAAAAAGCGTGCATCTATTTGAATAATTCCAGTTATTCATTTTTTATTGGAACAGTATATAATACAAAGAATATAGATTATCATTAATTGGATCAGAAAATTTAAGAATGGATTCAAAATATTTATTGACAAAAAACTCTGACATACGGCTCATTTCGACGAATTTTGCAACTAAGCGGAAAACTGAAACAGCCAAATCTGATATGGACGTTAAAAATAAATTCAACTACACTCTATCCACGTCTCGAAATACACTACCAATATTACCAGCTAGTAAAAAAAATTGCATTGGACAACAAAATAAATCGTTACCAGTATTCAACTGCCGACAAAGAATATTAAAGGAAATAGAAATTAATGACACTGTTTTAATAATGAGTGAGACAGGATCAGGAAAAACAACACAAATTCCGCAGTTTCTTTTACATGAAGGGTATGCAAAGAGTTACATGATTTGTATTACTCAGCCACGTCGAGTAGCAGCAATCACAGTCGCAAGACGTGTTGCGCATGAGTTGTCAAGTAGTATTGGCGATATTGTGGGGTATACAGTTCGTTTCGAGGATGCTACTTCAAAGAATACAAAAATTCGTTATTTGACTGATGGTGTATTATTACGGGAATCTATAGAAGACCGCCTTTTGCTAAAATATTCTGTAATTATTCTGGATGAAGCTCATGAACGAACTGTAAATGCCGACTTATTATTTGGAATAGTAAAAGAAGCTCAAAAAGAAAGAAGAAGACAAAATGTATCCAATTTAAAAGTCGTGATTACTTCTGCGACGATGGATATTGATCATTTCGGAAGATATTTTAAGTGTAAGGGGTTGTATTTAGAGGGAAGAACGCATCCCGTCCGTGTAATGCATGCCAAGGAACCAATTGATGACTATATCCACGCGGTACTGGTTACTCTGTTTAATATTCATCGCACTGAACCAATAAAGTATGTATGCACTACAAAATATTTTTTAAAATCCAAGAAAAAGTTATAATAAAAATAATAAATATAATAATTAATTAATAAACTAAATTTATAGGGATATTTAGGCAGGCTCCAGTTTTCACTTTCCCATAACCGTTCCGATTTATTTAAAAAAACGCAATAATTCGTGTTGTAGTTAGCGTAAAACGTAAATTATTTCAAAATTTTCCCACTGAAATATGTTTTTAACGCTCGGAACGAACCCTATTGAATCCGTTGTCCGTTTGATTCTATTCAATCTAGTCTCAGTCCAATAGTGGTCCAGAGTCTTGTGACTATAAACAGAGTATTTTGCTGAATTCTCCGGATCGGATCGCTATATCATCCAGCTGTCATATGAATGATCGATCCAAAGCAAGGGTCATCAACCTGCGTTGCGAAAGAGCCGACTTTCGGCGTCATTATATTTCATATTTAAACCTTTTAATGTAAAATCAAAATTTAAATCTATTAACCACGTCTCAACAAAATACCGTAATATTGAAATATAATTTTGGCTCTTACAAAATTAAACAAACTAACTTAATTTTTGGCTTTTCCGTCTCAAAAGCTTTCCGTCAAGTAGTACATGTAAGACAATCTGTTAGCTACCTTTTCTCTATTAATTTTTTTATCCGTACTCGAACAGTTAAGGGGTACATTAGATTTGTGGTCAAAGTGAATGTGCGTAACGCACAGAAGGAAACGTTTCCGACCACATATAGTACACACTACTGGTCAAAATAATAAGTACACGCCTATGAGATTTATTTCACGGCTCGTAAAACTTTTTTAACAAACATATAAAAAAAATCCAATTTACTTTTATTTTACTAACCTACAGTAGATTATAAGCAAATGTAACATAATCATTTTTCGCTTCAAACTTTATATTTGTGATCGATTATATCTAAAAAAAATGAATAAGGGGTGGTCAAAATAATAAGTAACTCAAAGCTTATCAAAATTTTTAACTTTTTTCTTAATATTAGTAATCTTACTATAGTATCTGATACAAACAGGGGTATTCCATAACTATGGCCATTTTTTTTTGGCAAACCATCAATAAGTTTGCGCCAAATCTCTACTGGAATCTCATACCAAGTTTTTGGGGACAAATTCCCACAATTCTTCGGAGTTTCGAAACGTTTTTATGCCAACTCGACGTTTCAAGTCTCCCCATAGATTGTATATTGGGTTTAAGTCAGGAGATTGACTTCGCCAATTCAAAACGATAACCTTGCTCTTCGTAAACCAAACTTTGGTGTGTTTGAATCGTTGTCCTGTGGAAAGACCCACCTAAAGAACATGTTTTCCTTAGCATATGGTTGAAAAATGTCAGTCAATATTTTTTTATACCCGTACTCAAAAAAGAGTTAAGGGGTCTTTTGTATTTATGGTAAAAGTGGATGTGACAACGCAGAGAAGGAAACGTTTCCGACCCCATAAAGTATATATATTCTTGAACAGCATCAATAGCCGAGTCGATATAGCCATGTCCGTCTGTCCGTCTTGTTGAGCGCTTAGATCGCAGAGACTATAAGAGCTAGAGCAACCAAATTTTGTTTCCAGACTCATGTGATATAACACTGCTACAAGTGTATTTCAAAATTTCGCCCCGCCCCCTTCCGGCATCACAAAGAACGAAAATCTGTGGCAGGCACAATTTTAAAGATACGATAAAACCAAAAACGCAGTATCGTAGTGAATGACCATATCTACCAGATTACTGAATCTAAATCAGATCGGATCATTATTATGGCCAGAATAATGAAATTAATTTCAGTTGCTTCCCCCACCTCCCCAAGCAAACTCTTCCCTGTGCAATGCGCGACCTTTGCGGAGATGTATAATCTACATTGTAGATGTAGAATATACATTGTATATGTAGATTACAGATGTAGCAAAAAATGTAAAATAATTTAAAATTTCACATATGTATATCATAAGCTTACATATCTATATACTGACTGAGTACGGGTATAAAAGTAGAGTCGCATCCTTAGAAGCGACTCACAACGTTCCTTCTCGTTTAATTTAGCAATTATAATAATACTAATGGCTTTAAAATGTATTAAATCACTTCACAGCTATGACGTTTTAATCTTCTTAACAGGACAAGACGAAATTGAATCATTGGCTCAACAAATTCGACAACTTTCCAAGGTGAGTTTTTCTTCGAAATACAAAGATTTGAAGGAAGTCTATTATACATAATTCAAAGAATTATATACAGCAGTGGTCATTGAAATAGTGCCGCACCTCACCACTTTCAGGACTGTTTTTGAGACACTTTCATCATTCTAAATTTAACAGGTAATAACTTTTTGTAAGCATTAGAACCTCAAAGAAATCCCATTGAATTTGCATTCCATCTTCATGTTTTACATGACCTAAGAAAAATACCCATGAAATCTGCTGTTCACAGAAATAGTAGTGCTGGGTGTAAATATTTAACAAAAATTAAAAAACAACAAATTAATTTAAAAAAGTCACCATCAGTAAGTTTATTTCAGCTATTAAATATTTTGATGAAAGAAAGTTTTGGACATAGCGGTAATTTTTATTTCGGAGCTTAAAAGGAATCATTGCTCGGTCTAGAAAAGGAGACGTAAGAGTTAGACTAAAAACTAAAGGCAGGAGGTATAATGGCACTGAATACTAAGATTTATCCACTCTCACTATTGTATTTAACCCAATTAACTATAAGAATTAGGCTGTAAATCGATTTTGTATGCAAAAAACTTATCTAGTCCTAAAAAGCCACGCGTTTTGTCATAAAGCACATAGGCGCAGAACTCAAGTTAGGAAAAACGCATGTGGTCTGGCCTGTGGCACAGGTAAGATAGACTCCAGAGAATATGTTTGGCATTCACAGAAATCCGATTGCCACCCAAAATCATGAAAAAAATAGTATTGGGAATGCTGGGCTGAGACCTATGAGGCCAAGCTCATTTTGAGTTTCATCTGAAAATATCGACGTTTTGCTATGTCCAGCTCAGTACCTTTATCTCAATCTCATCGAAAACTTATGGGAGAATGTCAAATACATTGTAGCAACTTCAAAGCCGTCAACCAGATCAAAGTTTTAGCAAGTTTTCAGAGGAGTATTGACCGAAATCCTATTGAAGCGTTGTCAGGACCTTATTGACCCATGCCAGGTCGGTGTAAGGCCGTAATGAAATTATAATTGAACCTCAAGAAACATGAAGACCCTAAAAAATAGGTTCTAAATTAAGTTTTCTCGTGTTTTTCGATTTTCTAAAAAAACACTACTATTTCTATTAAGAGCAGATTTGATGGGTATTTTCCTTAAGTCATGTAAAACATGAAGATAGAATGCAAATGCAATAGGATTTCTTTAGGGTTCTAATGCTTACATATTCAGCTTTCCTAAAAGGTATTATATGTTAAAGTAGTCCTGAAAGTGGTGAGGTGCGGCACTACTATTTCAATGACCACAGCTGTACCTTATACAAAGAAATATTTTTGCATAATATTTTGTATACCCATACTCGAAGAGTTAAGGGGTTTATTAGATTTGTGGTAAATGTGGATGTGTGTAACGCAGAGAAGAAAACGTTTCCAACTCCGTAAAGTATATATATATTCTTGATCAGCATGAAGAGCCGAGTCGATATAGCCATGTCTGTCTGTCTGTCCGCCTGTCCGTCTTGATGAGCGCCTAGATCTCCAGACTCATGTGATATCGTAGAAAACTACCATAACTTTCAGATTACCGAATCAGGATCAGAATGGATCATTATTAAGCCAGAATGAAGAAATTAATTTTCAGTTGCTAACCCCACTCCTTCAGCTCTGCAGCAATACTTATTGTCTTTCTCGATCGCACACTCTGCCTGCCTCGTTCAGTAAGCGACCTCTAGCGAAGAACGAGTTAGAGCGGGGCGTGTTGGTGTAAGTAATTATGTACATTGATAACAGACGTAGCGAAAATATGTTAACTGATAAAATATACTGACCAAGTACAGATATAAAAGTGTAGTTGCGGTAACAGAAGCGACTCACACCGTTCCTCCTCGTTTTAAAGCCTAGTACTCAGTTTTCTTCTTCGAGAAAACGGCTCGCAAACAAAATCAGTGTTGATATTCGTATGAAACCGATAAGACATTTTTTTGGGCAAAAACTGTTTACTAGTGCCTTTACTGCAGGCAGTACTCAGTTCAAGGAAAAAAAGGTCGATAGATACTAGAAAAGCAGCCGATGGTATAAATAAATATAAATGTTCTATCTTCCGAGCAGTACCCCAGCAAACGCAAACTTAAACATTTCAAAATGAGAACAAAAACCGAATGAAATATTTAAATAATTAAGACATATGAATATTAAAATTTATTATTATACCCGTACTCAAAAAACAGGTAAGGGGTATATTGTATTTGTGGTAAAAGTGGACATGTGCAACGCAGAGAAGGAAACGTTTCCGACCCCATAAAGTATATATATTCTTGATCAGCATAACTAGCCGAGTCGATAGAGCCATGTCTGTCTGTCCGTCTGTCCGTCTTGTTTGACGCCTGGATCTCAGAGACTAAAAGAGCTAGAGGAACCAAATTTTGTTTCCAGACTCATGTGATATCACACTGCTACAAGTGTATTTCAAAATTTCGCCCCGTCCCCACAAAGGACAAAAATCTATGGCAGGCACAATTTAAAAGATACAATAAAACTAAAACGCAGTATCGTAGAGAATGCCCATATCTACCAGATTGAATCTGAATCAGATGGGATCATAATTATAGCCAGAATGAAGAAATTAATTTTATGTTGTTTCCCCCTCCTACTTCAGCCAGAGACCCGCTACTCATTCTCTTTCTCGCTCGCACACTCTGCCGCGTTATGTACGCGGGCTCTCTCTAGCGAAGGAGATGTAGAATGTACATTGTAGATGTAGATAACAGATGTAGCAAAAAAATGTAAAATGTAAAATTTTTTTCTAATTCTAAAAAATCATAATCTCAAAAATGTATGTATATACTGACTGAGTACGGGTATAAGTAGAGTCGCGTCCACAGAAGCGACTCACGTTCCTTCTCGTTTTTATTAACTTTTATGAGTATAAAACAAATATTGTTTTTAAAATATATGTTTTCTTCACGATGGTCTGCTGCTGCTGATAGCCAGACACATTTCTTTGCCAATCAAATATTGAGAAGCCCACGATATGCCGTGGAGAGAGCGACCCCAACCGAAGAAGTGCATTTCATTAAATGTACTCACATTCACTGCACTGCACGGCTTGGTTTCTGGCATCGTTAACCATCTATGGCTGTTGAAAAGCTTTGGCGACTCAGGCTAGGTGGAAGGTAGCAGTTGTAAACCCAGAAGCTCGCCAATTTACCCCGAAAAATTGACTCTGCAGGAGCAAATCGCTGCTTTTCCCGACGAGTTATGGACCCAGCATCCTTCTGCTGGGAATCAGTATGACTTTCTGATGATGGCAACATCCGACCTCTGATCGCGCACCGACTGGGTGAGCAAGTCGTTTGCAGCCTCGCAATGGTTCAGATATATTTGATAAAATCTACTGCGCTGCTACAGTTCGTAGCGATATGCCCAAGCTCCAAGAACTTGAAACACGCTCCCGTATTCGGAAGACTGACCAGGCTACCTTAACTTTCCAAGCGGAAACGGCGTTCCTTGCAACGGTCGCTGGAAGGCTGATAACACTAGTCAAAACTAGAATTAGGCTGTGGCCCAAAATTTAAATTCTTATAGATTTCGGGGTCTACAAATTTTTAACGAATTATGGTTTTTTTTTTATAGTGTATTTTTATACCCGTACTCAAAAAAGAGTTAAGGGGTATATTAGATTTGTGGTAAAAGTGGATGTGTGTAACGCAGAGAAGGAAACGTTTCCGACCCCATAAAGTATATATATTCTTGATCAGCATCAATAGCCGAGTCGATATAGCCATGTCCGTCTGTCCGTCCGTCCGTCCGTCCGTCCGTCTGTCCGTCTGTCCGTCTTGATGAGCGCCTAGATCTCAGAGACTATAAGAGCTAGAGCAACCAAATTTTGTTTCCAAACTCATGTAATATCACACTGCTACAAGTGTATTTCAAAATTTCGCCCCGCCCCCTTCTGCCCCCATAAAGGACGAAAATCTGTGGCAGGCACAATTTTAAAGATACGATAAAACTAAAAAAGCAGTATCGTAGAAAATGACCATATCTACCAGATTGCCGAATCTGAATCAGATCGGATCATAATTATAGCCAAAATTAAGAAATGAATTTTCTGTTGGTTCCCTCTCCTTCTCCAGCGCTGCTGACGCTACTGATTCTCTTACTCGCTCGCACACTCTGCCGCGTTCAGTGCGCGAGCAACCCCTAGCGGAGGAGATGTAGAATATAAATGGTACATGTACAATCTACATGTTAGATGTGGAATATACATTTTAGATGTAGATGTAGATAACAGATGTAGCAAAAAAATGTAAAATGTAAAATTTTTTTTTTTTAATTCTAAAAAATCATTAGCTCAAAAATGTATATACAGACTGAGTACGGGTATAAGTAGAGTCGCGTCCCCAGAAGCGACTCACACGTTCCTTCTCGTTTTTTAAAGAATTTTTTAAAATCTGTTATTATTTTTTTTTTTCAGAGGTAGTGCTTCTATTTTTCACATAACTTAAGTATTTTATATCTGGTTGCATAGAACTTTGCAGTTCTCAAAAGCTGACAAACGCAGCTATAAATCCGACCCAGACCTTTTGTATCTGTAGCTTAACGCCTGAAAGATAATAAGCTTTCAAATTCAAATTTCATCATTTTTTGCGGTATTTTTTTTTTTTTTTTTTATTTTGACTTTAAAAACTCGGGAAAAGTCGAAAAAAAAAATGGAAGCACTACCTCTGAAAAAAAAACCAAGAAAAAAAAATACCATATTTTAAAAATTCTTTAAAAAAAATGACAACATAAAAAAAAAATAAAGTAGTACAAAAAATTTTAAATATCGAAATCTATCAGAAAAAGTCATTTTGGTTCACAGCCTAAATCAAAAGTTCAATTTTGTCGAGTAGTGTAATGGCGCGCTGAGTACCACCAAACTCTGGGTGCAGGCTTTTAATCGAGTCATCGCCTTTGGCTGTGCACCTCACCCTGCGCTCTCGCCTACACTCGCTAATTTGTCGCTCTGGCTG